TAAAATGGCACTGGGTAGTCTAGCATAAGATACCTAAATCGTGGACTACATGTACCATCCCATTCATTTGTAGGAGTGGTGATGAACCTGTGTCCTTTCCTCTGTATTAAGTATGCAGTAATTCTTTTTTTTTTTGCAGCAAATTCAGCAGTTACAAGAAGAGCAAGCTTCAAGCAGTGCATCCTGCTCAGGTCAGTACCACACTGCTTAGCAGTTTATTGTGTTCTGCAGCCTGTGTAGTAGCAGGCATCAGACACCAGTCCCTGAGCACTTGAGGGACATTTGAAATACTGGCCAATCAAATTCCATACCAATGGAGTGCTTCATAGGGATTTGTTGCCAACACTGTATGTCTGTTTGATTAAAGAAAATAACAGGAAAATGTAGAATAACAGAGAAAGTGCACAGATCCTTTCTTACAGCATGTCATGAGTACATGTTTTTTTAAATGAACTCTCATTCTCTTTCAAGGGTTTTTACCTGAGGGTACACACCTTGGTACATTCTCACTACAAAATTTGCTGTTTAAAATAGGCCTTTTACATGACCCTGCCATATGCTACAAAATCAGCCAGGCTTGTCTTGTCCACCATACCAACTGTCCCATGCTGACAGATTAGTTGGGAGGATTATACAACAGTCACACAAGAGACTGAATTGAAAATTGTTGTGACTAGTAACTCAAGCAAGCAAGCAAGCAGGCACTGGGAATAAACAGCCTGATGATAAGAGCGAAAGATAGTGTCAGGAGTAGTTTGCATTTCTCTTTGGGTTTGTGTTACTTCGCTAAGTGTTTGGTTTAAAAAACTTGCTAACAGTTTTGACTGGTTTACTGGATTGGGTGTGTCCTTTGTGACTGGTCAGAGTAATTACTTTGGTTTTGGTTGTGGTTTTGGTTTTACAACACTTGACTGAAAAGGTCAGCTAAATATTTTTCCATAGATGTATGAGAAACTATAAGGAGACTCAAGACTTTGCCCCTAAAACTCTTATGTTTAGACTTTTTAGGCAATTCGCCATTACTTAAACACCTTGGAGAAGCAGGGTTACTGCATGATGTCTCAGCATTACTGGCAAGGGCTCGCAGTAGAGATGAGGGAAACCTACGAAAAATACAAACTCAAGCAAAAGGTGCGTCTTTACTAAAAATGCTTCTCATATAGGTCCAGTAATGTTTCCTATGTAAATGTTGGTTCATTTGTCCTACTTGCCTCTACAGGTATAAGTGGTACCTACCACTTTTTGAGTGCTACAGTTCTACTGCACAATGTACTCCTAGTATTTAGCCATACCCAAAATACTAAAATATTTGTTAGTTATTATGCTCTGCCCCCTTGTACTAAATAACTAGCCAACAAAATTCTCTTGTATTCTTCATTTTCTTTAATGGCTTCCTGACTGTTGTCATTTCATGAGTGCAAAAGAGAACTTCATTGACACTGTTCACTCTATTAAAAGGTAGTGGCAAACCATTATTTTTAAAAAACTGGATCACTGAATAATGCAGTTCATGAGTTTCTTTGGCTAAGCCATCATGGTATATGAGCAGTTATACCATACTCTAAAAATATGGTAAGTGTACGCCTATGGGGAGGTTTTCTTAATAAAACAGTTATTCCACTCACGCTTCCACTCGTATCCAATGCACGCTCATGGGATAATTGTTAAATATCTTCCCCACCCAAGCTAAACAATATCTTTCCTCTACTATACAGAGCTTGAGTTGCCTGTAGCATCATTGTTCAGATCAGTTCAAGTATAGTGAAATCGGTATTAAGTGGACACCTGCGCGAGTCCCAAAATTTTCCTCCCACATTTACTGTAAAAGAAACCTACATTCAGCGGACACCTCTGTTAAGCAGATGCAGCCACCAATATTGAGCCATTTTGTTGCACAAAACCTGCAATAAGCCGACACTTCATGGGCTTTTTACTTCTAAAAGCTCAGCTCAGATTCCTTCAACATTGTTCAGCAATGTTATTTTAAAGCTAAGTAAATTATTCCAGATTGATGCATTGACTGACTGGACATTGTGCTATGAGCAGTCTTTGATCTTACACTGAATTACACTGTTACAAAAGGGTTGATAATTAACTATTATTGCCTTCTTAGAGTGGACACCCTGTATTAAGCGGACAGTAGTGAGTGTCCCAAGGGTGTCTGCTTAATACAGGTTTCACTGTATGGCAACAAAATTGTCATTAACATTTGTAAAAAGAATGGACCAAAGATGCTCTTTAATCAAAATTCTCACCATTTTTATGTACTATTTGGCCATGTTTTCTTTTCCTTGCAGAGTTTGATGCTCAAATCAGCACCAAATTGAAGGAAATTGAGCGAATGAAACTGGAAGTGTCGCAGCTTAAACTGAAAAGGAAGAGATGTGATAATGAAGTAGACAGGCTCCACAAGAGACTTATGTCATGTGACAATGCACTAAAGGAGATCCCAGGCACTCACACTTCAACAGCTCCTAATGGCATGTGACTTTGCTCAATCTGATGATACTGGTTAAAAGGGCTGTCTCTTGTTATTTGGATTGTCACGCAATTCTTCTTGGACTTAGTGTTGTGTGACAATTGAAATAGTGCCTACTTCTAAATATTTGTATAAAATAACAAAGTATGTTGTAGAAATTTGACACAGAATTTCCTAATTTCCATATTCTTAATGTACAAAGCTCTTTTATTTCATACAATGCAAAAGCCACTACACCATGTAATTTATACGTCATTGGATGATGCAAGGCAACAAGATTTTAGCTTTATATTTATTTAAATGGGGTTGGTAGGGTGCACAGTGAAATAATGAGAAATGCATTTTAATATATCATTAGCTCCATGGGTTCATGATATAGTCCAGTGTCACTACTGTTAATACGTGCTTCCATAACTTTTTCAGTCTTCCTACTTTCCTCCCTCCATGAGGGTTCATTAAGAGTCATATGTTTTGTCAATGTTCTACAAGAAAGTCAACGCGAGGTTTAACTAAGAATTAAACTGTGAGCTTTTGGATTGTTGACAGGAACCGAGAACAAGTAGATGAGACGTCACAAGACTTGTTTCTAAAATATTTACGTTTATGGTAAAAGGCAATGCCTGTTTCTACCCGTCTTACCTCCGGTAAATGTTAAAATAATCGAACTTTTGAGTCGATTTGGTAAAGGTTCCTCAGTTGTGTNAAAATATTTACGTTTATGGTAAAAGGCAATGCCTGTTTCTACCAGTCTTACCTCCGGTAAATGTTAAAATAATCGAACTTTTGAGTCGATTTGGTAAAGGTTCCTCAGTTGTGTTGTTTGCGTACCTGTCCAGAGCCTAAACGTCTTATGTTATTTGTCTTGCTAATAATTTGCCGTACAATTCCGAACGAAAGTCTTATTTCCAGCTCAAGAAAGTTGATGTAAATATGAATTCAAAGTATGTAATAAATTTTATTGCTCAAGAAGAGTACTTTAACTGGAAATAAAATAGATTTTTTTAGAACAGGTCTGCTTGGCTCCAAGCTCCCTAAGGTTCCCTAAAAGTCGACAAACAACCTTTGAATGTTCCCGTGCAAAACGCTTAATCAAAGTCTTCGATCGCTTCCAGTAAGTTCAAATTCATACTATCACCAATGTTCCATTGTCTCTGCACCCTCTGAGACCCAGGGGCAGCTAGTCGGGACGATGCGATATTTTCGGGCGACACGATATTCCCCCTTTCCTTCTCTTGATGTAAACTTTCGCCCAAAAATATCTCATCGTCCGGACTAGGTACCCCTGGGTCTCCGAGTATGCTGTCTCTGAAGCATCATTACAAAAGGTGCAAATATCGTTTTTAGTGACACCAATTTTAACAAGGCTTGCATTTCCAGCAAGAAATCTGTATATAGTTTTAAACTGAAAACTGCAATAATTTTGCATCTTTGTAATATCGTTTGCAGTTTTTGATTGGAGGCGATAGCTTTAACTGGCTGGGAAGCATGAGAAATGTGTCAATGGCCATAGACGAATTTCGTGGCGCCCATGGTCTCTTCCCATGTTGTGAAAACCGTCTTTTCCATGATTCTGGGATGGTACTTATGCTAGATAATACCGATGATACCCGATAGGAGTAAGAAATTCACTTTTGATGATCTTCTGATGCTTTTCTAACAATTTACCTCTCAGTTGAAAAAGGGCTTTCAGGACAAGTCAATGTGAGCGAAAACTATATAACAATATTGCTTGGAATGAGGACTGTAAAGCTTGCTTCGTGGGTTTTATGAAAGGGACGAGTCCAACACAAATGGTTGACTTGCCTGGAACGCGAAATCTTTATTTCTGTCCAAATTAAATAGCCATAAAGCCAGGCAGCAGGGCTTCTTTAGCAAGACAACGCCTCCTCTCTACCTCCCCCCGCCCCCTTCTCCCGAAAAAAAAAAAGATCTTTCAAACCTCGTACTGAATATAGCCATATCAAACATCACAGTAGCCTGTGTGGTTATTGTTAGACATGGACATTCTGTCATGACGGCTTTCGTCTTTAGAAAAGACTGTTATCCCGTGAGAGATATCAAAAAAAAAAAAGGCAACACAACAAAAGCGGAGTTCCTTATCTCCTTAGGGCAGTAGCTAAAAGTCTCTTGTCTCTATTGCTAGGAAAATATCAAGCCTGGAATGGAGACAGCTAAAAGTTCTGCTCTACGAGACAAGAACAACTTGTGAATGACATAGGTGAGGTAAGATTCCTGCTTGAACTGTTATTAGCTGTAGCTTTCGCGCAAGTTGTTCGAAAACAAATTTACTTATCCAGAATTATAAGCTAACAAAAATCTTCTCTCTGATAAGTAAGAATTTAAGATAAGCCAGAGTAAAAAATAAGGGTAAACAAATTTACGAAAATTTTATTGAAGACGTACCATGAACCCGAGATCCCAGAAATACATCACTAACCTCTGATGATGGAAGTCTATTTAGGAAACTTCCCAAGCTTTTCAGTAGTTCATGTTATCCAGCTTATAAAACTTACAGGGCATTTATCTTTCTATCACTAGGAGAACATCAAGCCTGGAACGGAGAAAGCTGGAAAGTAAGAGGCGCTTCTGATGTAGGAGAGAGGAACAACTTTTTAACAACACACACAGCGAGGTTAGTTTCTTGAACGTAACGGTATTAAGCTGTAGATTTGTTCCAAGTTCTCCGAAAATAGAAATGCTCAGAATTGTAAATGGACCAAACATTTCTCTAATAAGTTAGAAAATGATAAGGGCAAGCAAATTTAACGAAATTGTCTCAAAAGCGGACTATGAATGAGAATTCCAGAAAGACATCGGTAACCTGTAATGTCTATTTAGTTGACTCCCCTAGCTTTTAGTTTACGTAATTTACAGAGTATTTGTTTCTCTCTCGCTAGGAGAAGTATGAAGCATGGAACGGAAAACTGAGCTGGAAATCAAGAAACCTCCCCTGGCGTGGGAGACATGGACAACTTCTGAGTGACTTCACCAATGAAGTTATTTTCTTACTTTTTGCAGATTTACTAATCCAGGTTTCGGTAATCAATAACAGCCGGCCAGATGATTATTTACTTCTTTTTCAGCAGTCCCATGAAATATTTTGCTGTGGAAGAAATATGATGTGCCTTACAAAAGATCAAGTTTTGACACAATACTAGATCATAAATAGCGTGCTAGTTCACGCTGATGAAAAGCCCGCGAAATTCAAACCTCTACGTATCATATTTTCCTAAACGTTTTGACATAAATCTTATATTACAGAAAACAATCTTATATTATAGAAAACAATCTAGGAAAGTTCAAGTTTGTTATACAGTGGGTTTCAAACACTCGAAAAGGAGTAAAACAGGTCCTATTTATATTCATGAGTCGTACACAGTGATGGGTGTGCAGCTCGAACTGTGAGCCTGAGTGTTAAATGCAGTCCGAGTAGCGTTGCAAAGCTCAAATAAGACACTAATTACAAGGTACACATGAAAGTAAATACCACTAGGACTATAAAGTTTTTGCCACCGCCTGATACGAAAACCCAAAAACCCAGTGGGAAAAATGGGACCGTATTCCTCAGCCAAATGCAGGCGCACTAACCTCCGGGGGCTAGAGGTGATATAAGAATTCCAGACCTACACAATGAAAAAATCTTAAAACAAAATTTGAAAGTTCAAGCTGAGATGAATTTATTACGACTGTCAACAACAGCAAGGTAATAACGAGGCAAAGAGAAGAAAAGACAAGGGTGGGAGGAGGCGGGTAGAGAGGTTGAGCAAATCTTAACCGCCCAATACTCGCGGCTAGGTTAGTGAAAGCGCATGCTCTAGAAATCCTACCGGGGGTACTCTTTAAGGGGTAGCGAATGGTCCTTCAAAAGCTCTGGGTCTCGTTAAATTTTAGTCGAATTTCACGGTTCTCGCAGTCTCGCTTTTTAGCGGTTATGTGCGTCTCGCAATCTCGATTTTTCTACGAAGCTGTCTCGGAGTCTCGATTTTTCGCAAGGCTAAGGGTCTCGAAGTCCCAATTCGTTCCTTTACCTGCTTTTATAAATGACGTTTTCTCCGGCTTCACTTAATATGGAATTTCAATGAAGCAACTTAAAAATTTCCCGAGAAAAAGTTAATCCTGACTTCTCCTTATTGTCTTAATTCCACAAAAAGGTACAAAATCTACTGCAACATCCGTTTTGCGCCAGAAAAACAGTTATTTTTCTCTAGGATATCATAACGTAGTGTGTTATATTTAAATTTCCAGTTCCAGTCAGGTCCAAGAAGCTGGCTTAAGGCTGTACAAGCTCATTCTAGCTCTCAACTAAATCTGGGGCTTGAATTTTAAGAGTCTGAATAGTCTGCAGAACAGGCGGATTAGCGGGTTCTAGCGCGATACACGAGCGCGCGCGCGAAGCGTGAGAGCAGGGCGGAAAAAGGCCGAGTACATATAAGCGCCCTGGTGAGAGCCCGCTAATCCGCCTGTTCTGCAGGCTAGAGTCTGAACGTCTCGCGCTCGCACTCAAAACACTTTGAAGTCTCGGTGTCGCAATCTAAAAAGTCAAAATGTCTCGGGCTCGCAAAGAAAAACGCCTGTCTCGCCGTCTCGCAAAGTCTCGCATTTACCATTCGCCACCCCTTCTTTACCGCAGCTAGCCATCCCTAATCTATTGTCGTTTCTTCACGTTCTCAAAATATAGTTGCAATTTAAAACGAGGATTAAAAAAAACCTATTGGAATGAGAAGTTCTGAATTTTATTAATTACTACCTGCAGATCGTTGACATTTAAACGTTTTTTCTCAGTTTATTTACGTGGCAATACATTGGGAATTTAGTGCTATATTAATACATCTTTTCATGACTGATAATTTTGCAAATTCTCGTTTCCAGTGTAATTAATTAATGTGTGGCGCTGCTCATTCTCTTCGAAATTAAATGATTTAACAATATGGAAGTCAATTAAGAAATGCTGATCACCTTTGAGCACCAAAACTTGTTGTTTTTAAGCATATTAAGTGATGGTGCATATCAAAGAAACGAAGACCTATTTTCACAACTACTTATCTCGTGGGCGGGTACCCTAGAGGCCTTACAAAGCGCTTCCCGCAGTTTATCCTCCTTGTGAAACTCAAGTTGTTTTACGCTTCCCCTATCTGCTCTATTGAGTCTTTGCACCACTCCCAAGAGGTGAAGCCGCGACAATTTATGGACTAAAGCAACAATGATTTTGTGGTATTCTACCTTAGAAAAAGACTGGAAAGCGAGAAGTGTGCTACTACATGAGTACTTTTTTCAATCCAAGCCCTTATCTCCTTGCGTTTCTGGTGCGTTCCTCGTGAGTTTACCCGTGCGTTCCTTTATACGTTTTCTGGTGAGTTCTGTTGTTGTTTACTCGTAAATTACCTAATAAGTTCCCTCGTGAGTTCCCTCAGATGTTAGGCAGTTCCCCCCCTGAGTTTCCTCGTGAGTTCTCCTGTGAATTCTCTTATGAATTTACTCGTGAATTCCCTCATAACTTCCTTCGTTAGTTACCTAGGGTGTTCTCTAATTCTCTCCTGATTTGCCTTGCGAGGTCTCCCGAGAGTGCCCTGCTGAGTTCCCTCGTGGGTTTCCTTGTTTCTTCGTGCATTCCTCTGCGCCTTCACAAACAAAGTGTTGTCCTTAAGAATCACTAGTGCTTTGACGTAAACACGCACAGTAAATTTTACTCTGCATGGGTGAAAGAATGAGTGAACAAGCAAACGCATGGAGAACGTTGAAAGGGAATGGATATCGGTAAGGAAAACTTACAAGAGAACGCGCAGAAGAAAACGCGCAGAAGAGAATGCACAGAAGAGAACGCACAGAAGAGAACGCACAGAAGAGAAAGCGCAGAAGAGAACGCGCAAAAGAGATCGCGCAGAAGAGAACGCTCAGAAGAAAACGCACAGAAGAGAACGCGCAGAAGAGGACGCGCAGAAGAGAACGCGCAGAAGAGAACGCGCAGAAGAGAACGCGCAGAAGAGAACGCGAAGAAGAGAACGCG